GGTGACTGTGGGCGTGGTTTCGGTGACTGTAGGCATGGTCTCCGTGAGGGGTGACGCGTTCTTGGTGACTGTGGGCGTGGTTTCGGTGACTGTAGGCATGGTCTCAGTGAGGGGTGACGCATTCTTGGTGATAGTGGGCGTGGTTTCGGTGACTGTAGGCATGGTCTCAGTGAGGGGTGACGCATTCTTGGTGACAGTGGGCGTGGTTTCGGTGACTGTAGGCGTGGTCTCCGTGAAGGGTAACGCGTGTCCAGTGACTGTGGGCGTGGTCTCAGTGAATTTAGGCTGGGTGTCAGAGACACTGAAGATTGTGACGTCACTAGTGATGTCACCAGGGCTTGGCATCGAGGCACATCTACTGGAAGTAGGTGTTCCTGGAATTCAAACAAATAAAATCAATGCTTTCACTCTGAATTTAGAAAAAAATCCTTTTCCGAGCATATGATTATAGATAGATTTCACTCCCAAGATACATGTCAGTTAGAGTGAAAAAGAGTTCAGAACGATAGAAATGAGAAAAAAAATTACAAATATCCCCGTACAATTAAGGACCATGAGTAAACTGAAAGAAAGTTATAACCCCCAAAAAAGACACCAGTCCAAATATTGCTTATGTAATACTGGATGTACTTGAGTCTGTTTCAAACAGTCACTGAATAGCTTTTTTTTTTTTTTTTTTTTTTTGGGGGGGGGGGGTGCAAAAATAAAAATTAAAAGTGGACGCGCAAGTTCCTTACGACAAGACAGGAATGGCAGTTCTAAGAATGACAGTCCTAGAAATGCTAATCATGTTAATTGTAGTCCAAGCAACGGTAGTCCTAGGAATTTAAGTTAGAAATCCCACTAAATGAGTACAGGCTAGGGTTATAGTCTGAGTATCTGAGTTAATATATGGGGAAAATGTCAACTGTTCAAAGTAACTGAGAATTACAGACTACCGTTCCCAGCAGACCTGTCACAGTTTAATATTTACTATACCTGAGACACAGGTGTACTTGACTTCAAGGTAATTATAATCTCCAGGGCATTCATTTTGGAGTGACAAATCCAATAATGATATAGACCCGGAGGTAGTATTCTCAAACACTCCTACAACTTTCTGGTAAGCTTGGGTGGAATTGCAGGCTGGTAAACTAGTCACGTGGTATCCTGAGGACTCACACATAAACTGTAGCTCTCTTCCGTACATGGCATCTACTATATGGATGGTAGAGTTAACCGGACACGTGATAGTCAGATTATCTTGTCGACATGCTCTTGTGGTATTGTATCTGTCTGAAAATGAAACCAATCGGAATCGTGGCGTCAACCATGTGGATGACTTTTAAGGTTGTATATTAGCACGAAACATGCAATGATTGATTTTCTACCCGATCGTCCGAGCAATGTACAAAACAGCATCGCTTACATTGATAAATAGGGTCTGTGCATTTTCGTTACACGGAAATTGATTACGCCATATTACTTGTATAATGTACAGCATGAGAAAATGTTGATAGCCTCTACTTGAATGCACTACATGCATGGTAGTAACATGTTACATAAATTATAAGGCGTAAGTGAGAAAAAAAAAACATCGGAAGCAATGAATGTGTTCAATAGCAAACTTCTTAATCAGAACGGGTAATTAAGATCAGTGACCAGAGCGTCTGT